AAAACGGAATCTTTATCCAAAATAAAGAGATGCTAATAGATAATGTATAATTAGCATATTAGGAGAAGTAGGCATTAACATAGATTTGACTACTCCGCAAAAATCCAAAAGATATTGGAGACATCTCGCTAAAGATGGAACCTACATGGTGGAGCGTTGCAAGACAGGGCAATATGAATTTTTTTTAGTAACTTTCTTTCGAAAATATGTGTGATCTATATTTTATTGAATATAATAAAAAAAGAATAAGCAATTGAGGTGAGAGAGACTCATAGAGAAGGAAAGCATCTCTCGGCATTGTCTTAGAGCAACCATGTCCAGTTACTGGCATATTTCTTTCCTCAGTAGAGACAAATGCAGAGTCACAGTCACTAGGAGGCCGATGCCTGTTCAGAACATGCAATCAATGCTCCTTGTTTTTTTTTATTTTTATTTTTTTATTTTTTGACGAGTTCTGGGGCCCAAGCAGGGCCCGGAAGTCACCCTATTTTTTTTTTAAGACAGAGTCTCACTTTGTTGCCCAGGCTGAGTGAGTGCCGTGGCATCAGCCTAGCTCACAGCAACCTCAAACTCCTGGCTCAAGAATCCTGCTGCTCAGCCTCCGAGTAGCTGGGACTACAGGCATGCCCTAGCCTGGGCAACAAAGAGAGACTCTGTCTCAAAACAAAGAATACATCACTATTTATACTATTCTATGGACCTATTCTGTCTAATGATAGTCACTAGACACATTTGGCTATTTAAATTTAAATGAAGTAAATTAATTATAATTTAAAAATTTAGGTCCTTAGAGATGCAGTGAACATATTTCAAGTGCTCAACAGCCATATGTGGCTATTGTGGTCACTATACTGCACAGCACAGATATAGAACATTTCCATCACTGCAGAATGTTCTACTGGACAATGTTGCAAAAGAGCATGTTCTGGTCAGGGCCGCCTTGAGACCTGAGGCAAGTGTTTTGCCTCCTGTGAGTCTGGATCACTCACAAGGAACACTTTGCTTTAGTTTAGCTCTTATTTATGCATTTATTTCTTAGCTTCATAAAATTTTTTTTTTATTTATTTATTTATTTATTTTTTTAGTTCAGTCTCCGTAGAGACTGTCAAAAATTGCCAATGCCGACTATATTTCAAGTCGTCATGGCGGGGTATTGGGAAAAGTTTTCAATTAGCAATAATCGCGCCTCGGATAAACCTCATTGGCTACGATACTGCCACTGCGCAAAGCTAGCTTCATAAAATTAAAGTGTTCAATGCAAAAAGTTGAACATTAAAAAAAAGGAAATGTGCCTCCAGGCCATTAAGTTTAATAAGCTTCACACATCAAAAGGAATTAACCATAAGTAGGAGTGATGACTGGTAGAAGACATGATCCCTCTCTCAGTTTCCCTCCCGCCTGGGCTTAACACACAGAATCCAGGCGAGGTCTGGGGCGAGGGTCTGGGACTAGCTCAGAGAGGGCTGAACTTCATCCCGTTAGCATCTACATTCACCATCCAACCGATGCCTGACATTTTTAAGTGCTAAATAAATGCTAAGCACAGGCCTAAATGCTTTGTAAGTTTTACTCCATTCAAACTTCACAACAACCCTAAGGTCGGTACTAGTATTCTCGGTATACGGACAGGCAAACAGAGGCACACAGGTTGCTAACTTCCTCAAGGGCAAAAAGAGGACAGACTGATGTTAAAACTCACTCTGAATCCAAGTCTTGTGTTCTTAAACAATTGTACAGTACCGTTTCCTGTTCATTTCTAGTTTAGTAGCCTGACATTTAAAAATTAACTTATTCTGTGATACATTTGTTTTCTCTGCCATCTGTATTGGGCCAGTACAGTTCGATCATATATGGTTTGCCCTCTGCCAGCTTTTCTTTGTACTCATTTGTTAATGACCCTGCTTCTTACGGTCAGGGTGTTACTCAGGCTCAGAATTCTAAGTGGCATGCATTAAGTAGTGGCAGGAAGTAAATGACTGTCGGAAATTGATGACCTATCTAATCGCCTCTGGGTAGCGATGAAAAAGAGAACCCATTTTCCTTACGGCATCTCTCAAGTGTACAAATGGAGCCTTGATACAAGGACACTGCAGGTCATCCCACCTATCAATCACCTTAAAACCTGGTTGATTTTACATAAGATCATTTTGGATCTAAAAATTAACCCTCGTAAGTGCTTTGGAGAGCGCTGTCTCAAAACTGATTATTTCCCTTTTTGCCATTTCTAAAGTACATTATAAGTCCGCTAGTGATATCCTTGCTGGGCAATTCGTCTTTTTATATTTCACTTATTATGTAATTTTATTTCCTTTGAACCTCTGCCATGATTCACATCAAATACTCTCATATTTGGGCCACCATTTTTTTCTCCTCTACCATTTTTTCTATTTGTTAATTTCCATAGAAGATTCTGTAACTGATAATGAAACATGCTGCTAAGAAATAGTTGTGTAAATACAGAATCAAAAAAATCCATCTTACTGGCTAACACAAATGCAATCTGTATATATTGGTTTGCAAAAACCAAAAACAGTAACATCCCCCCAAACATTCTTAATAATAAACAAATGGGAAGAAACAATAAGCAAATTTAAACTCAGTGTGGAGCCAGGAACTTCTATATTTGGGGATGATTCTACCATTTAAATGGCTAGAAAACCCCTACATCTTCAACTGAATATCTACTGGCCTTCTAAAGAAATTCCTTATTAATCAGAGAGAGAAAAACGTATCACAGGACTGTATGCCACACAAACAATGATAGAAACCCAAGCATGTGTACACATACATACACAAACACACCTGTAAACAAGAAACTGAAAGTCCCTTACCAAAAGTATGGCTAATGCTGAAATGAAAGGTTGGTTGAAGAAAAGAAACACAAATATGATATGTTTTTAAAGCCAGTAGTAGCAGTAGGGTATGTCTCTTCTGGTATCTCTAAAATGATTGGCAGTAACTGAGGTTAAAAGCAGAAGCCAATGTTATGAAATAGATAACTTTGGATTATCGGAGCTGCTGCAGAGAGCTTTTAACCCAGAAAATCATAGTAAGCTCTGTACAGACTCTGAATTCCTTGAGGGCAAAGGGATTTATACTCATAGCCCCAACCCTCGTATGCAATGCCTGGGTGACAAGTAGCATGCCCCAAAGGACTGGCCTGCTCTTGTTGCAAGGGAGTAGAATTGCTGGTGTCTGGAGGTAACAAAGAGTAGAGTCACTTTTAGTTAGTTTTGTAACTGTTTAAAATTCTTAACAGATAATCTACCCTTTAGATCTGCAAGTTGTGTCCCTTGGTACCCAAATGCCACGCTTCGGCAGTGTTTATTTCTCTGGGGTCTCTTGAAATATAAGATCCCTGCAGTGAGACCCACTGATGGGTCAACTGGGAGCTGGCCTGTGGTCAGGGCAGCACAAAAGCATCATCATGCTGCCATTGCCCTTATGTGCCACGATCCCACGTGTCTTCATGGCAGGGACAATAAGCATGCCCTGAAAAGAGGAGGCAAGCAGAGAGGAAGGTCTTAGGCTCTAAGTAGATTATGAAGAAGTGAAAGTATCTACAAACCACGGTCTATAATCTGAATGGCTTGTCTATGGATCCTGCCTTGTTGGCAAACATTTGCTTTCTGCATAAGACAGAGGCAACCATTATACTCAAGCTGTATGCTGAAGGTGAGCTGGTCACAGACATTCTTTGACAAGACGTTAACTCTGATTCATTGTGGATGGGCCACCATTTGGAGAGTGCTGTCTCAAAACTGATCACTTCCCTTTGTGCCAGGGAGTTTTGACGTCCCTGACTGTGGGACTATTGTGAGAACACATATGAACTGCATCACAGAGTTGGGGAAAAGAGATAACCAGAATGTACAATCAAAAATGGATCTCTCAGAATGAGTAACTTTCCTAGATTGGCAGGCAAAAGCCTGTTATACCCCTGTGTTCTACTCTGTGTCTCCTTTGCCCTGTGCAACCGGCTGTATCTGAATTATACACACACTTTTACAACTACAGAAATGTCTATGTTAATTTACTCTGTAATCAGTAAAGGGTTAGAATTGAATGTCAGTCCTAAAAGTCCCCATCAGTCTGGTTCACTGCAGATGCCGTGAACAGAGCACTGAGAAGGAGGACTTTATCTGATGACTAAAGAGGTGTCCATGGGTAGGTGAGAAGCAAGACAGTTATCAAACAGATCAGTTATTGCTGGGCCAAGCACTCTGCAGGGCTCTGTCATGGGCAACACGGGCAACACAATATCTCACCTCTTGTTGACTTTGTATTTTCCCTTATTTTAAATTCCAAACAAGCTTCCTATGTTAGCATGAAAAGGGAAATAGGCTGTGTGCAGCATCAGAGTCTGAGACTACCTGAAAAGATCTTTGTTAACATTGCAATTTCCATGTTTTACATATTAAGAAGGTTTTCTTTTTTCTTGGCTCTTGGGCTCATGCAGGGCAGAATACCATCATTCAGATTAGCTGGCACAGGCCAAACTCAATGTCTTGCCTGAACTGTAAATTAAATTTAGGGAAAACTAAAAGAAAAAGACAACTAAGGAAACCTGTTTCCTCTTGTGAAGAAATTATGACCATGCAATTTAACACATTACAGGACAAGGCTGGCTTATTTACAGACAAAGAAAGTACAGGAAGCTGGTTAGAGATGTGGATCATGTATTCTGAAACATCAATCAAGAGCTGTCACGTTTTATTCTATGCTTATGTCTAAATATTTATTCTTTATTTCTTATCTTTAAATTATTACCTCTCGCATGGTAATCTTAAGAACTGGAAGTATGCAGACATTTCAAAGCACACATGAAATGAATCACATGAAAAAAGATAATACTGACACAAGACTGGGAAACACTCTTTGGCCACAATACACCCCATCATTTTCTTCTACATAGTTGACCAATTTAAAGAGAGGGATACAAGCTAAAGGATGACCCAAAAATAAAAAAAAATAAAAAAATAAAGAGAGGGAGTTCTTACCTGGAGTCTTAAAGTTCCTCAGTTGAGAGGGAGTGTCATAAACTTCAAGGATCCAGTCACCAGCGGCTCGTTCTCCCCAGCAATGAATGGTCATAAACTCCCAGTTTTTAAATCCTTCCATGGAATGGTCGAATAGCCTGAAAGAGAACCATATAACATTGCTTTGTTTGTTATTTAAAATCCAGTGAGGGTGAAGTCAAGACTCTGGTCCTCATCTTCCATCAGCATGTTTAGCTAGACACTGGAGATCGCCTTTATCCTGAATGTCGCTAGTTAGCAGATCCATACATATATCATTGTTCTGCCACAGGGAAACAGGACTGGGGCTGGCCGTGTAACAGCAAATCTGGAAGGGATGACCCACTGGGGATCAGGGAAATGAGGCTCAGACTCTATCCACATGACTGACAGCGGAGTATTGAAGATGTGGAGCAACTAGAACTCTCTTACAGTGATGGGAATGTAAAATGGTACAGGGGCTCTGGGAAATAGTTCGACGGTTTTGACAAAGTTAAACACACACTTACAATAAAACTCAACAATCCCTCTCCTATGTATTTACTCAAGAGAAATGAAGACATGTGTTTGCACAAAGAACTTCACAGGAATGTTCATAATCACCAAAAACTATATACAGCTCAAAAATCTCTCAACTGCTAAAGCGGTAAACAAATTATGGTCCTCTGTATCTGTCGATTTTGCATCCATGGATTCAACCAACCACGGAGTGAAAATATTAGGGAAAAAAATTATGTCTGTACTGAATAGGTACAAGCTTTTTTCCTTGTCATTCTTCCCTAAACAATATATTAATATTATAACAACTATTCATATAGCATTTATATTGCATTAGGTTCCAGCCTAGATCTTGCTCTTCTACCCTTCCAAGGATTTCCTAAGCTCCTAATTCTCTATCTGAAATCTCTCCACTTAAAAAATCTAGAATTATTCTGTTTCCTGTGATGGAATCCTGAAGGATACAAAAAAGGAAGAAAAATAAACGGAATCTTTATCCAAAATAAAGAGATGCTAATAGATAATGTATAATTAGCATATTAGAGAAGTAGGCATATAACATAGATTTGACTACTCCACAAAAATCCAAAAGATATTGGAGACATTTTCTATAAAGATGGAACCTACATGGTGGAGCGTGCAAGACAGGGCAATAGAATTTTTTTAGTACTTTTCTTTCGAAAATTATGAGTATCTATTATTTTATTGAAATATAATAAAATAAGAATAAGCAATTGAGAGTGAGAGAGGCTCGCAGAGAAGGAAAGCATCTCTGGCATTGTCTTAGGAGCAACCATGTCCAGTTACTGGCATATTTCTTTCCTCCAGTAGAGACAAATGCAGAGGTCACAGTCACTGGAGGCCGATGCCTGTTCAGAACATGCAATCAACGCTCCTTGTTTTTGTTTTTTTTTTTAAGACAGAGTCTCACTTTGTTGCCCAGGCTAGAGTGAGTGCCGTGGCATCAGCCTAGCTCACAGCAACCTCAAACTCCTGGGCTCAAGCGATCCTCCTGTCTCAGCCTCCCGAGTAGCTGGGACTACAGGCATGCGCCACCATGCTCGGCTAAATTTTTCTATATATATTAGTTGGCCAATTAATTTCTTTCTATTTATAGTAGAGACAGGGTCTTGCTCTTGCTTAGGCTGGTTTCGAACTCCTGACCTTGAGCAATCCGCCGGCCTCGGCCTCCCAGAGTGAACGCTCCTTGTTTTAACTTAATGTTCACCAAGTACATTGGTCATCATAGTTTGACCTTCTTTGTAGATCTTCCCATTGAGAGAAAAATGTGTCTTTCTAAAAGCAAAAATAACCCACTTAACCTCCTTATAACTTTATATATCAGAACCCTGATTTTTGAAAATCAGTCTATCCATGTGTTTGAGGCTCTTTCTAAAATGCCAGCTGGATTCTAAAGCTGAAGGGTTCAGAGGCACAGTTTTGGACTGCATTAGGTAAATGGCTGACACTCGCCATTATTGCACAGAGAAAAGCAATAAACAGGAAAATCACCTGCTACCTGTTCCCGAGCCCTTGAAAGAAAGGAAATATGAAATTATTAAGCAGTATTCTCAAGGTGTCCCATTGTCAAAAAATTCAGGAAAAGTCGAATTAAACAAAATTGAATAAATCCCTTTACTTGAAGACATCTCAGCTCTTTGGAATATGCAAATGTGTTATGTTAATCTCCATGATGGTGTTAAATGGGAGGCAGTGATTTTCAAATCTTGTTGGACATGAAGCCTGTTCTCTCTCTCACTCTTTTAGAACATCTGTGTATTATCTACAAAGGTTACCTCTTTGAACAGAGGAGTGTGGCACTTCGATGAGGACCACGTTGGATCTGGTGACTTCCTCCCACAATGGCGGGGATGAAAATGGTGGCTCTTCACACGCATGTTTTCCACTGTATTGACCCTCAACAGAGCAGGGGTGGTACACTTTATGGAGATCCTACAATACACTGCACAACCAAAAACTGGGGTTGTTTCCCAAGTTTATGGCTTAAAACTGGACTTGGCCAAGAAGAAACTGCTGTGTCATTATAAAAGTGACTTGTATCCATCAAGTCCTTCACTTAAAAGCCAGAACGTGTGCATGTTGGGCAAAAAGGCAGCAAAGAGACAGGGGAAGAGGAGCTTTTTCAAATTGCCCCTCCTGACAGACACATAATTGTTAAAGGGAACACGTCGCTACAGAAATGAATGGAGGCGAAAACCAGTTCAGAACCACTTTCTTCCTTAAGTTCCGCAGCTCTAACTGAAGCTCTCATTCACTGAGGCCACCGTGCCATTTAGGGCACCGAAGCAGTAACTTGTCACCTAATACCTCTCCAAGAGTGGCGAACTTAAAAGCATTTCCCAAACAGTTTGGACAGAACATTTGGCTCGTTGCCTCACATCCAAAAACTACAAAGGGGACTTGAGGCTGCCATCACATGAGGGGCAGTCTTGTTTCCACAACCTCAGCCAAGTCTGAATTACTCGCGGGTCAAGGATCTGAGGGCTGGATTAGCAGACCCTTCCCTTCTACCCTTTCCTGTCCACCTTCGAAAAGCATTCCGTTGCTACCAATCACTTTTCAAATCACATTTGGAACAAAAATGAAATACAAACTGGGTACCAAGAAGAAATATCTGGAAATCAGAATTCAGATAAGTGTTTCAAAGCCTGAATATAAATGGGCTTTGTCTATGTAGCTCAGCAGTTTCCCAGCCCCGGTCTCTTCACTGTACTCAGAGTTGGAATGTTCATTAATTTCATGTGAACGTAAAAGTTGAGGAGAGGAATGAAAATGTAGCCAAATACCATCATTATCTTTTGCTGAAAAGAGTCGATGGGAAAAGAAACAGACACGGATGGCTGTTGTATCAACTAACCAGGCAATGCACAATTCTAGTCTCACCTTGTCTTTTATAAGCACGGATAGTTAAAAGAGGGATGTATCATTCTATACTTTAATTCTGATTCAAAACTTCAACTGCTTTCTATTTTCAGCATTGTAACATTTTTAAAAAACTACATCATCTGCATATAACAAAAGGCAATTTAACTTGTAGATTAGCTTTGCATTGCAAAAAACATACTTGCTCAAGACAATCAAGTGTCAAACCATGGACACCTGCGAAGGACATTCTAACTGTGGGATCTCCTCTGATCAGCTAAAATGTTTAATGCCCAGTGTGAATGTCTATGCTGTGCTGGACGGTGAAGAAATCAGATACATGCCAACATGATTAGTGTTGGTAAAATGTGAATAAAACAGCCAGTGTGCAGAAAGCCGGAGTAGATTAACTCCATGCCTGTATCCACTTCTGTTGCAGTGAAATTCTGTTCCGTCAAAGTTGACTTCATAATCATGTGCTCGATGAAATGATATAGGCATACAGTGGCACAAATTATGCACCCACTTATTAAAAGGGTGCCTCACAGCCCTATCCCTGTGAGCGGTTTTCAAACGAATTACTTCTGATGAATCCTGGTAGAAAAGACTGCCCATCAACTGCAGTACATCCTTTTGAGGGATTAACTCAGGAAATAACTCATATAATTGCTATAAGCTTCCCCCCACCCCTTCCACTTAAAAAGTCTACCCAATATATCAAGGCTACAAGATTCTTCTATAATGTTGTGGCAACTAAATAATAAGATATTTTATTAAATAAGTACTGGCAGCTGTGTGTTATTATATAATTATTTCTAAAATTGCAAATGGATGTTAATTTCAGAAGCATCCACCAGTACTCAAATAGTATTATTATGTTTATGTACACAGAATTAGACACTAGATCAATTCTTAAAAGTTTTCTTTTTCCCCCTCTTATTTATTTATTTACTTAAGTGCGTCATCACAATTTAAAGTAGATCTAATAAAATGCCTGAAGAATGCATTTAGCTCAATTGTCATGGAGTTTTTGGTTTTCTTTAGATGTTTAGTTTTTATAAGTTTTAAACAATTTGCTTCTGATATAGGGTATTTAAAAATGTACTATTAGGTTTTTCTTTTTTTCCTAATCTAAATTGCTTCCTTAAAGTTGGAGAGTGAGAAAGGTACTGGTTCTAGAGGCTTGTAATATCTAAAATAAGTTTTTTTTAAAACTTTTAACATGCATACTGTTATCATCTCACTCACCAACCCCCCAAATGCATTCCTTCTTGTGGGTATATGACACAAGTACTTAATCTTCTTGAAGATTTATTCCATGTTATAGTAGATGGCTTTTATTGAAGTATCTGTTTTATATTATAAACTCCTTTGTAAATTACTTACACAGCGTTTGATGGCATGAAAATAACAAGAATGTGTATGAAAAAGTTGGATGATCTTTTGAATTCATGCTATTTAAAGTGTGGTTTGTGAACAGGTAGCTTCAGCACCACTGGGAACTTATTAGAAATGCAAATCCTTGGCCCTCACCTCAGACCTACAGAATCAGAATCTTTAGGAGAGGGGCCCAGAGTCATTTACCAGGTGCTTTGAGAAAAACTTTGTAAATAAGAGCTACCATTTATTAACTGCTCTATGCTAGGAGATGCTGTCAGTACTCGCTGTATGTTATATTAACTTAATATGGGTACTGAACAACCTTGTGAGGTAAACACTATTGCATCTATTTTATAGATGAGGACATTCACTTTTCCAAATTCAAACACAGAAATTGGTCAAGTCAAGACAAACCCAGCTCTAACTCCAAAGTCTGGAACCTTCTTTTGAATGAAGAGGGTTCTTGTGATGCCTTCCTGGAATGTAAAACTTTCACTGCCAAAATATAATTTTAACTGCGAGCCACAGACGCATTTATATACCATGACACTTTATACGTATCAATAGTTGTCACTGGACATTTGGGTAGGGCAGTGACAAAAAAGATTAAAGTATAAACATTACATTTTAAACATAGTTAATTAGAGAACACTATAGGTTTTGCAGACCGGCAAGTGTACCTTCTTTCTAGTGAAGGCCATAATTAGAAGCAGAGGTATTCATCTGTAATCAAATTTAGAAAGGGAGGCAAAGTTTCAGCTTTCAGTCAGGGAGCTCGTTCCAAAATTTGGAACAGTCTAAAACTCAATGAGATGGGGGTGGGGGGAGATTTAGGGGAAAAAAGAAGAAGAAGAAAAAAGAAGACAGCTTTTCATAATTCTACCAAATGCAGTTGAAGAAGAATCTGCTGGGATTAGCTTTTGTTTGAAAAGCACCGACACAGGTAGGATTTGAATGTGCCACAGTATATAGGCTTCCATCGAAAGCTGCTGTTATCTAAAAACATTTTCAAAGGGCCCAAGTGCACCCAGCTTCTCCCACACGCTCCACCTCCAGATTCTGCGTAGAAGCGAACCATTTGCTCTGAATATTCAGTTCAGCTTTTTGTTAGGCAGGGTATCCAGGCCAAGGGGAGGGCAGGGGAAAGAACAAAGGGAAGTCCACTCCGGGCTGCCCTGCTGACCCATGGTGTCCACCCACTGAATTATCAGCGGGGCTGGCCAGGGGGGCGGGCATGCTGGACTGGCGTTGTTCTGAATGCCGCTGAGTGCCTTCCAGCGCTCGGCACCTGCACCTGCGACGCTTGGGTAAACTGTTCTTCCTCCAGCAGCTGTTCTCCGCGGGAGCCCGGGCACTTGCCCGACAGCCAGGACAGGGAGCCACTGGGGGGCTCCAGACGGCCCACGCGGACTTGGTGAACGAGTTCTGCGCTTTGCAGAAGAGAGACTCTCAAGGAATCCCTGTGGTGGGGGAATAAACAATTCTGAAGAAACTCCTCACTCAAATGTCTAGGAAAATAAGGAATTCCGGAAAGCCGACCGTGAAGGTCCCCAAAGTAGGATGCATGTGTTGTCAGCACTGGAAAGGAGATGACGCACAGATGTAAATAAGGCCGCTGCCCTCTGGGCTCTCCTCCCTGCATCACAAGGAGGAGGTGACGCCACGTGACCCTCCGCTTCTAGGTGTGAGCTGGCCCTGCGCACCCTTCCTTCTCACCGGGCCAGCGTGGGGTCTGCTGAGAGCCACTGCGGCCACAGGGGCTGCTCGGAAGGCCTCAGGGAGCTTCCACGGCGGCCGCCAGCCTCCTCGTAAGCGTGCAGTATTGCAAATTCTAACTCCGGGAGAAAAGGGTCACACCACCCGGAGGAGTGGGACAGATGAAACGGGAGGACTCTGCCACAAGAAGCCTACATCTTCATCCCTAACCACCTCCGCTAGGAAAACTTTGTTTTAAACTTTTCAGAATTCCTATTTATGTTTTTTTTTAACTGCGTTCTTTGCTTTACATGGTCCTCCTGAGAAATCTTGGCTTCTTTTTTTTAAAAAAAGATAAGAGTCCAGTAGGGGAACTATTTGTTGCTCTTATGAATAATCTCTGGCACACAAATTGCTTCTCAAACCTGACCTAGTCACCTTTTCCTTGAGGAAACGTGCTGCCTTGCAGACCTACGGGCAGGACACCAGGAGTGAAGCAGGCCTCTGCTGCACCCCCTCCCCACCCTCGTCTGTGCCGCCCGGTCTCAGCTCTCCAGCCTGGGAATGTGCTTCCAGACAGGGCCAAGGGGGGAGGACGGGAGGACTCCTTGCCACTAGGTCAGAGACAGAGGTTTCCTCTAATAAAATGAAAGCTTCAGAATATGCCAGATGGAAAGAATGCCAATAGAAACCGTCTTTCTTAGCCGCCTTGATAGGAGGGACACTACTAGCGTCAAGCACAACAAAGGTGGGTGACAGCAGGGAGGCCCTGGCAGGTGGCCACTCGTGGTTGTGGGACCAGGTGCAGCTGTTTCACATTTAAAGGGTCAGCTGCTCAGAGCAATACTTTCGGGGAGCTGTAGATAAATGATTTCATAACATTCTTTGCATCTCTCCATGCCTCTAGCCCTCTCCAATCTCCAATCTCTCTACTCCTTTTTTGGTGGCTCCTTATTTTCAGGACTAAGATGAACAATCTACCAAAAAGTGACACTTCAAGAAAACGCTTCCGACCAAGAAGATACACTCTGGGAGCAAACCTTATTCCCAGGTGGTCTAGATGGGCGAGACCGAGGTGAACCTTGTTAGCTAGTTTTGGTCACCGCGCGTCTGAAATGCCTGTCTCTTTTTCTCTGACACAAGTCACGCAGCACTCTTGCGTTCAGCACTTTGCAAAGAGCAAAGCAGATGTCGGCTGTTGAAGAATGCCTGCGAGCCTGCAGCCAGCAACACTGCAATCCACCAAACGCCCGTGATGGAATCCATAGCTCCTCTGCTCACAAGTTTCCTCACTGACGTCATTTCAGGGGAAGCCAAAAATAAATAGCGAAATATGCAGGAAGAGCCCAGACAGGCTAAAGCGGCTGAGTTTTCCAAGCAAACAGCAACAGCGGAGGGATTGTTTTTCTACAAGGGAGGGAGTTCAGGGGATAAGATCCACACATAGGTGAAGCAAAACTTTGCACTTCAGAATATTTTGCCAGAGTGCTCTTTCCAGTTAAACCGAGATAAATATGGTAAAAAAAAAGAAAAGAAAAAAAAAACAGCAGGAAATAAAACCCTTCTCCCAGTTTCGGTAACAACAGCTGGGGAGACCTCCATTAATCATGTAATTGTGCGTCCGAAGGTTTTGCTTGCCGGCAAGCAACTCCGGGCAGGTAGCTGCAATTACCTGGCAGGAGCAGCTGAGACTTCTTTGTCTATAGCGGGAGGAGGGCATGGGGAAGGACCCAGGGACCTGATGCGGAGGAATCCTTACAGTCCTTGCACCTGCACCCACTGATTCTGGCAAAGGCACGCTTCATGTTTAAGATATTACGTAAACCCAGGTTCCTCTTGCAGTAATGGGAGATGTTAGGTTTGAAAAAAGGAACACGGCAAGTCTAAGCACAGAAATAAAATGCACTTGAAGATTTCAGGTTCTGTATTCCTAGTCGCTGTTGCCTATACACACTGTTACTCTTTCTTTTTCTCGCTGTCCTATGGTAGATGAAATTTGGGGATTTTTGAAAAGCAACTGGCAAGTTCAGTCTCACTTTTGGTTGTGCAGGTTTCCATTAGGCAGCCTCTCAATGCCCCCTGCCTGTCTGTAAGGAGGGGTTTATTCATTTATATTGTCTACGGCGGCGGCTCTCATAACTACGGAATTGGGTAGTTAGGATAGAGACATGGCCCACAAAGCTCAAAATATTTACTATCTGGCTCTTTACAGAAAAAAAACTGCCAGTACTTGCTTTTAAAAAATTAGAATTTCCTTTAACTTTTGAAAGTAAGTACTTGGGCAAGAGAAACCAGTTAATCTGTAGCAAATGTCAGCAGATACAATGAAGTGGGTAGCATGAGAGTTGGATCTCACAGGCCTTAGAAGTTTGTGCTCTACAATTCTTTTTCAGGATAGAGGATAAATGGCCTTCGACTTTTCTTTAGTCATCCTTTGACTAACTATTAAATGCCATACTTTTGCACGCCTACAGGTGCCAGGCAGCTTCTTATTCTCTACCGTGAGCAATGAGATTATGATATCTAAGGTCCCAGGTAGGTGGTTCCCAGGGCAGGAGTAAGGAGCAGCTGCCCCTTTGTACCCCCTATGAAACAGCTGAATGTCAGTGTGACCCCTACCCTGGTGGGGAGAAGCCACCACTGTACCTGTTGGCCAAAAGCTGGGACCTGGTTCCCGAGGGCGAGGTCAGGTAGATGGCCAGGTCTCCCCTCCTGGGGTGGGTGATGGTGATGCGCACGACGACGTGCTCCAGGTAGTTGACGTGGCGGTTGGGGTTATCAGAGCAGCCCGAGGCTTTGTAGATGGAGCGCACCGCACTGTTGGGGCGAATCGTCCTGCAACGGAGAGAGGGAGTTTGAGCAAACTACATGGCGGAGCTCAGCTGAGTGTGAACCCGGAGGCTTGGGGTGAATACACGATGTCAGGCAAGCAGCTGGCCACTGGATATTTACAACAGTGCTAGCACCCGAATGGCTGGGCCGCTAAAGGGACTCTTGATGGGGCAGTGGGAAAGATGTGGGAGGACAAGGGGGATGAAGGGACATCAACTTGAGTGTGCATTGCTGTCACCTTGTTAAAACACAGATCGTTGGGCCCCAGCCCCAGGGTGTCTGATTGGGTAGGTCCCAAGAATTTGCATCTCTAACACGTTCCCAGGTAATAGTGATGCTGCGGATCTACAGAATACCCTCTGAGCACCACTGTATTGTGGCACAGTGAAGGCTTGGGGATTAGCATGCCCATGGTTCAAATCCCTGCTCTACCAATTTCTTGCCCTATAAGCCACTGGTACATTCTTCACTCTTGCCTCTAGGTTCCTGTCTTCCTCCTGTCCCATGGCTCCCTTGAACACTGGGCTCTAGCCACATTGGCGTCACACTTCTGGGATAATTCAAGTTTCCCACGTTGGGGACTTTGCACACACTACTCTGCCTGATGATGTCCCTGTGGCTGATTCTTCTTCCTTGAAGGTCAAAGATTAAGATCCATAAGGGCAGGGAACATTTCTTCCTCCCCTTTTTGTTCCTAATATCTAGCTCAGTGCTTGATGCCCACTAAGTGTGGAAAAAAATAGTTCCTCAATTGGTGAATGAATTTGTGAATGAATCAAATAATCAAATAACCAACTCCTTTGATCCCATTTCCTCAATTGTCAAATGGGAATAATACTCAAGTTGTTATAAAGTTTTAAGAAGAAAATATACATAGAAGTTTCTAGCACTTGGCTTAGCCCATAAATAAGTGCTCAATAAATACAGGTTAACTTTCCACTCCTTGGATTTTTTTCGCTCATTCTTTGCCACAAAAGAGAATAGAAAAAAAAAAAAATCCCAACAACTTTAGTCCATTTATTTCTGCTTCCTAACAACTTTCCTTAAGAATTATAATGGCTCTAGTTTCATCACTAACCAAAGATCAAAAATAATTTTCAGAGTGAGAGAGAAGAAAGAAACTTCAGAAGAAAAGAAACTTTTCTCTCTCTTTTCAGAAAAAAGAAACTCTGAAAACAAAGAGGAAAACACTAATAAAGCCACTAAGGTAGATTCCTGTTTCGGGGATTTAGCACCTAGGAGAGACCGTTGTTTAGTGAACTTGTCAGCACAGCCTCCGGATCTGTGCAGGTAAAACTGGGGAACAGACTCTAAAATCTCGGAGTAAACTGCAATTGCAGTTACTGTACACTTTGCACCACTCATTGGATAACTCCATGGTAGACAGTTGCTTCAGTGGTTTGAAGTACACTGACTTCTGGAGAATACTTGCACTATCAAACAGAAATACTGACAGAATAGAAAACTTCAGAAAGCCTCTCTGTAGGCATGTCCCCAAGGCCCTTTCTAAGAGATGCTTTTCTTTTAAGGAAGCTTGGGTTATAGTAGTGTGGATTGAACAGCTTAGAATTCTAGACATTCTATTACAATGTCATAATTACATTGAAAAGACACTACAGAAGCTTTTAGCTTCCATGTGCAACAAGGGGCTGTCTCGAGGACCCGTGCAGGCTCGCTCTCTTTGGGGGCACTCTCATGCTGTCTGCTGGCAGCAAGCATTACTTGATTTGTCGGTCTGTGCTCTCCACACACACATGCTGCCGGGGAACCGTGGTCCACTTCTCTGCCTCCATCACCATGGCTTCTGCGTCCATCAGTCCAAATCCATAGAGGTGGCTCACTGTGGAAGGCAAGAGGCTGGTCAACTTCACTGTGGTTAGGTGCAGCCTACGCTACATACGTTGAGTTATAATGTCACTCAGCGGAGATCTCAGACACATCCCTATGGGATACTACCTATCTTTCCAGCAATGATTTGAAAAACAAATAAACAACTCTGACAAGGAAAGAAGATGCATATACATTTTCCTTGATTATATATTATTACCAGCAGCACGACTATCATTTATGAATTGTTACTACATGCTGAGCACTCTTCTACATTTTTACATTTAATCCTCCCAACAATCTTAAGATGTTAGTGCTATTATTATCATCACCCATGGATGAGAAAACTGAGGAACACAGAGAGACTTGGCCAAGACTGCCAGCAAGTCAGTGGTCCAGCTGGTTGCTAGTATACAGTTCCGCTCCAGGGCCCCACTGTTAATCACTTGCATTCAAAAGTGATGACATCATTGCTTTTGTAAGATCAAATTATTAATAGTTTTAAAGAGAAGTGACAACGTATACAACTTCTCCTAGTGCAAGAAGAACTTACATGCAAGAAATACCAATTTTCTGACATATCGAATAATTAGGTTGAATACCGCAGGAGACATAAATTATTACCTTTCTTCTAGCATATACGAAATTTATTAAACTTTAATATTTGGAGGCCTCTAGAATTTTATGCCAGCTTCTTGTCTTCAAATCTTTTAGCTCTCAATTAGCATACCATACCTATTGATCTAAAGCTGAATTTGACACAACTGTCTTACAAACCTCAATTACATACAGGAATATTTTGATGATGATACAGCAAGATGTACATGTGCAGTTCTTTCTGAAAATACTTTAAAATTCTGGTTGGATACTTACAATCTCCACTTTGTACTGAACTGTCTCTTATTTCTTTATATTCAACACGAAGTCATATTTGTATCAGTTTTTGTCTAAAACATTTTTCATTATCATATTATTAATTACTTTATACAAAATTTCTATAGCTGCCCATGCTTATGGATTATTTAAACATACCATCTGGAAATTCACAATGTTCTAGGACATAGTCCCATTCTACTTTCAAAACAACCTTCCTCCCCAAAACTTTTGCTTTAGGAAACTCTTAAAGTCCCCAGTCAGACCTTGTTCTTTCTGCCTCACTGCCTGTGCTTCTGCTGAGCTCTTGGCCTGACATTCCCTCATTCCTCCTCTCTGCAGGGTCAAACCCTACTTGTACAAGTTTCTGAAGGCCTGGATAGCCTATCATTTCCTGTATTTTCTGATCAATAGAAAAAGTCAAAAGATATTTACTGAAATTCAGCCATCTGTGACCAGTGAACTTTTCTCCTCTTTTCTCTGATAACTAATTAATTTGTCAATCCATCTGTGCTTCTGTCCATCCATCCCTCCTTCCATCCATCCACCCACCCATCTATCCAACCATCATTTCTTGAGTCCCTTCAATGTGCCAGACTTTATAATAGGCAGTGCTCTTTTTATCTATGCCATCAATTGCACTGCTAATGACCTCTGTCAGCACATGTCCTTTTTCTCTAAGTGTATTATATAAACTGATGATAGGAACTGGGTCTTATATTTCTTTATATGTTCCATGAGATTAAGTAGCAGTTTATGCACATGAAAGAATAAGAGAAAATTATAGCTAATAAAAAAGGAAAATTGTGCTAGGATTAAAAAGTGCTGCTTTATTTATGCTATTTGGTAATCACACAATTCTCAGCAAAAAAAAAAAAAAAAAATCCACAATTTCTTTGTTTTGGGATATGATGACCTAGCCCATCACAATGATTAAGTTCATTAGGTATTATTATGTGTCCCATGTGAGAAAATCTGTGTAAAGAACCATACCACTGTAGGGCTTATTACTTTACTATCAGGTACTTAGCCAGACAGAGTACTAAGTAATAATAATAATAGTAAAAACCTACTTTGTTATGGCGAGAATATATGTAGGATGTTTATACATGTACTTCTGCAACTTTTATTATTAATAATTTTTCTGCTTAGAGAGTAATGCATGTTCATTGTAAAAAATCTTATCCAGAAAGGATATATCCAGAAAAGAATAAAGAAAATAAAAGTCATCAAAAACCTCATCGCAAATTGCTAACTGCCATGAACAATTCTGAATATTTACTTTTAGTTACCTAAGATTATAAGAGGTAATTACAAAGAGACAGAGGGACCCACATTATAGAGATGAAATGTCAAGTTTAGGCTTAAGGAGACCAAATTGTGGAGATCTTTTGTTACAGTTCATGTCAATCATACGTTCTCACCCATCATCTAACCATAGCCTACACCATTTCATAACGAACATTCTAAGGTATTTTTTTCCCCTGGGGAAATTGAATTTTTACCAAATTATACCAGACTCTTTACTTCTGATGGGTACTCAAACCTCTACTGTGCTAGTGTTAAGTGGTTTAAGACTAGCATAGCTTACCATTTTCTCTCAGTTTTGGGAAATGGAATTCAAGGTTTGATTGGTACATGGGATGTGGGGAAGGGGAGTGGGGAGGTGGGGTGGGCAAGGGTCTGGAACTGCCACTGCAATACCAGGACAGCCCCCAGGTTTGGGCTCAGCTGCTCTTGCTCCTGCACCCCCTCCCTCCCTAGTAACTGTCCACCTAACAACTATTAGGACATAAAGGAACATAAAGAATCATCAGATACAACAAACATTTCATACCTGTTAAATAACCACTGGAGTTAAGTAGAAAAGCACCTTGAGTCTTTATGAAGGCTATAAATTTGTTTCCTTTTCCAATTCAAATTCCTAACCTCCAGAGACAATGTCTCTTCATGAAACACTCCAAAAAGATGTTCATAAAAGAGGTTGACTAGCTACAGTTAAACTACAGTCTGGCAGGTCAAAGAAAAAAATTTATACTAATATTAATAAACAATGGGATTGGATTAAATCAACCAAAGTTATTGAGTCAGTAACAGAGATTTTTAATATTTTAAAATACTGGAAATCTGTATTTGTCCACAGTGATGATACACAGTCTAAGAAAAACATGGAATATGTTTCTTTATTTTCCCTTCCCCCCACCCCTTTTTGGGCTGGCAATACATCAACTCCATGTAGTCTGATTTGCAGTTATTTTGGGTTTTTTTTTTTTTGGTAAATACTAGTAAGAAAATAATTACACAATAAATGTGTTGGGCAGATAAACTCCCTCAAAATGTGGTGTCAATAGGAGAAATAGGCATTCAATGGTTTGGAAGCATTAATAATTTTCTTATATAACACAAAATTTTCACACTCTCAAATGACCTACAAATAGAGAAACACTGATCTTTTTGGTGACCATGTGAGTCAAGTCTGTCTTGCTCATCCTTGTCTTACCACGATGGGCCCAGTACTCAAGCTGTGCCTCTCTCCAGAGGCTGCCGAGCGTCTGGCTTAGAGGAGGGCTTTCATAAATATTTGTTAAATAAATGAGTTGACTTTATTCCCCAAGTGCCATGAAGTGTTTGCTAAAGAATTGTAAGGAGAAATAAGAGGTCTGTTCTTCTTACTACTGACTTCTGTAAAGTTATCCTTCACACTTGCAATTTATTCAAGTATAGAGCCAATATTCACATTTTACAAATTTACAATGAGAGCAACTATACCACGCCAACAACTAGTTGTGATTATGGCCATTCCATAACTAAAGTGGTCTTATTTATGCACATTTCTTATCCCAAGCTCAGAGCAAAACCCTGGGCTTGAAAACAATTTTATGATGATCAGGTGGAAGCCAGTCTATGCAAGCACTGTGGCAAATGCAAAAGCCTATGAAATCAGAGTACTATTAACATTGGCGGGAACAGGAATCCTGACCAGTTCAAATAGAATTTTTCATTCCTTCCAGTGGGGCAGCAAACATTACATTCAGTTTTAACCTTAGTTAAAATTCAAAAATCAAATATTAAAAAGATATTGAGGGAACAAGGCATGTATATAGAATAATTAAAGATCTTGAAGCGGAGTAGATCTCAGAAAGTAAATTTATTTTTTAGTAGAGTGAGATAGGACAAGCTCTGTTTCAATAAAGGGGATTTGAAAAACTTGCATAACATTATATCTGTTCCTTTAGGCTTCGGGGCTATTTACATTTGGATATGTATAAGATAGCAATCAAGACCTAATAAACAGTCTCCTTTATGTATGCAGATAAGCTCAGGAAAGTTTTTTCATCCTGCACCAGATATACAACTAGCTTTTATTCAAAGTTATCCAAAGGCTTCCCTGTTTGGAATAGTCAGATGGACAACAGAGCTCAGAAAAATAGATAATATTCTCTGGGAGGTATATTCTCGTATTCAGATGAGACCAGAAGTACTGTGAGAAGATACCACACAATTACCACACAAATAGGTAATTGCAGAGTTTGAAAGCAGATTCAGTTAATTTAAGCAAAAGCTTTGGCTAGGAGGCCTAAAAAACTCAATTCTAAAGATAAGCTAGAAAGCTCAGCAGGAAAAAAAAAATTGTAAGTTTCTGAGCAGAAGCTATAACCAGGGAAATTGGCTATACGTTTATTTCTTTTAGTGGACGATCCTTACTAGAGTCAGGTATTTCCAATCTTTTTTTTTTTTTTTAATTATACCAAATGGATATTTCATGATGATTTTAAAATGACTATGAGTAAAGCACCCCATGTATAATAAAGGAGTTGATCAGTTACAAAGGTTTTAAGCTTCCTGAGCTGAAGAAGGACTTTTGTGCTATCACATCTACTGCAAAACAGGGCAAAAAACCAAAACAAAACAAAAAACAACAAAACTCTCTACAAGTAGCCTATGAGAACAGAATTTTGCCTATAACTGAAAAAAGGCAACTTAGTGATAGCTATTCATCCCTGAGTATTTAATATAAATGCCCAGACAGTGTCTCCCATTGAGGAAATCATTCTATACAACCAGGGTGACTAAATGTTCAGGTTTGCTCAGGACCATTCAATTTTAGTACTGAAATTCTTGTGTCCTGGGAATCCCCTC